AATCTATGTGAAAACAGAAATTCATTGAACTGTCTTAGGATGGCTAACGTTTCAGCAAGTAATTCTTCTCCGTTCCCAAACCCCAAAATTCACCCAACTATTTTTTCATAGATTATTCATTTTGTAGGTAAAATTTTTGAATATGGCAAGTTACTTCAATGGTTTATATTTCAGTTACGTTTGAGCAGATCATCTACTGATATAGTTTATTTATTAAACGGTTTTATTTAGCTTGCCCTGTTTGTTTCTTTGGGTCAAATTTAGTAATTCAAGTTTGACCCTTTTCTGCTAACAAATTGATCTGATATTTGGTACACACATTTAGTTTTGATGATCATACAATTTAATACATTCTCTCTCATTGTAAATCCAAGTTGGCCGCAGGTGCGGAATGGCGAATTACACATTGTTTCACAACTGCCTCAATATGGGTATCGAATGACAGGGCTTGCTTAGTAGACTGGTAGAACACTTTGAAAAAGATGCTAATTCAGTTACAAAATGGCGGATTACTTTTTTTCCACAACTACCACAGTATGTGTATCAAATGACAGGGCTTGACTAGTAGAATAGTAGTACACTTTGAAAAAGTTGCAAATTGAAGATGCAGCTACAAAATGTCAGATCATATATTACGTTGTCTTTTGAAAAATACAGAGGCACTAAATGAATAAACAGACTGAGAAGAATTGATTAATACCACTGTCCTCAGCAATCTACGGCATTGATCAGATAAAAAAATAAAATAAAATCGTTGGGCGTAGTATTTACATACATATTTACGTAGGTTACACCATACCCAACGATTTTATTATTATTTTTATCTGATCAATACCGTAAATCGCTGAGAAGAGTCGTGTGATGACCGCTAAAATAGCAGCAGCAGAAACTCATTAGCTCGGGCTTCCATTGCCTGATGATATATAAAATGATTTGAAATCCCTGAAAGAACTAAAGAAGAATAATGAACTAGACGCCTTCCTAAAACACATCAACAGCGTAAGACCTTCCATCACTTTCACAATGGAGAAGGAAAGCCACAACGAATTGCCATTCTCAGACGTGTTGATGAATAGAACCGATACTAAGTGGAAAACACCTGTATATCAAAAACCCACTCACATAGGACATTATCGGAATCACGAATCCAACCACCATCAATCGACTAAAAGAAATCATCAAGACTCTATTAGACCGTGCTTTCGGGCTCTGTAATACAAAGAAAGTTCTCGAGAAGGAACTGAACATCATCAAAAATTATCTTCAACGGAATGGCTACTCCAAAGCGATAGTAGAACAAACTTTGGCCTCGCAAGGAAGAGAAGCTGTCACAACTAGTGCTTGCTTCCCTACATCAGAGGATTATCGGAAAGGATGAGAAGAATTCGTTCCAAGTACAACAGCAGAACCTACTCCAGATCCGGAAACACTATCCTATAAATAGTCATCTCTCGTAGGGATCAGTCCAGTCATCACCCGAAGACGATTGTGGATACTAATAATCGAAACAAACTATAAAATAAAAATAATTCGAAACTAATTTAAGATTGTGATCAAATACTTATGATGCACTGTTTGGAACCTTTGGTGTAGTAATGAATATTACTGAAGTTTTTTACCCAACACCCAACTGTTATTTCAACACCTCGACACGTGTTTCGACAAGTGATCATCTTCAAGAGGAAGATCAAACTAATCCTACTTACAAAGTTATCCTTATTTATACCATAGATACCTGTTCTAGGTACCTGCGTTTGAAAGTCTTAAATGAATTTAACATTATTGCCTTATCTACTAGTCTTAAATTATTTTTACAATGTGTCCTTATGTAATAGTCAGGTAGATCTAATAATTGTAATATTATAAGCTATATAAAATTAATTTCACAATGTTGCCTTTCCTACTAGTTTTGAATTAATTTTACGTTAAGATTAGTTAGACAAGTTAGCAACAAGAGGCATCTAGATGCCTATGTGAGTGTAGAAATAAGTAAACATAATAATATTATGACTAACGATGGTGGACCAATTATCTAATAGTATACTATATAGCTTGTTGAAATAATATTTTAATTATTAGATTTACCTGACTATTACATAAGGACACATTGTAAAATTAATTCAAGACTAGTAGATGAGGCAATAATGTGAAATTAATTTGAGACACTCAATACAAAGGTACCTAGAATAGGTTTCATAGGTATAAATATGGATAACTTTGTAAGTAGGATTAGTTTGATCTTCTTTTTGAAGATAATCACTTGGTTATCGAAACACGTGTTGAGGTGTTAAAATAATGGTTTGGTGTTGGGGAAAAATTTCCAGTAGTATTTTGTTCAGAATCGATGATAAGTCCCGTGGCTTGATGTAATCAATGACCTTTAATAAGTCTGAAATCAGAATAAATCTATTCACAAAAAAATTAATTTTGTTGTGAAAAAGCGTGGGATGCTAAATATCCATTTTTATATATTGTAACAAATTAAAGAATCAACTGTCTTGAACACATTTATTTCCAACAATATTTAACTATCACAAACTGATTTATTTACAACACTTAGCACTAACGCTTGATTTATTTCCACTATTTGAATTCCTTGTTTAACCGCTCGATTCACTTTCTGAACTTAACTGCCCTCTTGGGACGAGAATCCGGCGTTATATGTTGGTAACGATCGTTCTAGAATTCTGTAGTCGTTTCGGTACTCAAAGAGTTTTATCGGCGGTTGCCAACTGCATTCCTCTTGCGGTGATGTCATGTGTTTGTTCGCTGGCCCACATATCGGTCAGGGGCGGCTTCAGATTCGTTACAATATACTTGGTTAGGAGCTGTTTGACATATTGGAGCCATAATAAAAATATAGATNAAATTAATAATTTGTAGATAAACATAAACCCGGGGAAATCTATACGCCAAATTTCCTCCGAAATGAATATTTGGCATACAAGTGATTGGAGACATCTCAAAAAAACCGGTGTAAAATGTTACAAACTACACATATCTCAAAAATTGAATCCAGGTGATCCTGAAAGGCGATTAGAATTTTGTAGTTCCTGGAAAATGTAATTTGGACAGATGAAAGCACTTTTACGAATTGTGGGATATTCAACCGGAATAACGAACACATTTGGAGCATAAACAACCCCAGGCAGGTCCGAGAAATTCGACCTCAAATGCGATTTTGTATTAACGTGTGGGCAGGAATTTACAAAGATAGAATTTTGGATCTTCATTTATTTGACGGAATTCTGACTAGAGAAACCTATCACCAGTTTTTAATGTCGATTTTCAAGTACCATTTGGATGATCTACCTTTGGCTAACTCCACCGCACACTAGCAGACGAGTATCTAATTACCTGAGTGAAAGGTTTGGTGATGAATGGATAGGGAATAATGGACCGGTGAGGAGGCCAACAAGGTTTCCAGACTTGAGTGTTATGGATACATTCTTATGGGGTACTCTTGAAAATAGAGTTTATGGTCAGAGGAAATATCAAATTATTGAGGATCTTCAAAGAAGGGCACAGTTGTGTTATCATGAACAAGGCCAGCACTTTGAGCAGTGGCTGTGATTTACTTTTGTCTTCACATTTTAGTTAATTATTGTTATTTGTTCAACGTTCTATTTTCATTGAAAAGAACACAATGTCTAATTTACCTCATACACACCTCTTTTATCAAATTTCGATTGTTGATTTTGTATCCGTATTTTTTCATTGGCTTTTCAAACGAACTAAACTCGGTGAGATTTTGATCCAATAACTTGAACATAGTTCTATGTGGTTGTCATCTTTCGGGATACAAGTTTAAATACTTTTCCGATGTTCCAACACTGTTTCTATCATATTTGTTTCTTCTTCATTCGTGAAAGCCATTTTTGGCCAAAAATTCAATGACTTGTACAATAACAAAATGTCATTGAGTGTAACAAATTGAAAGTCAAATTTAGAAACATCAAGTCCTATTATGATAAGAATTATTTTTTTTCAATAGCTCCAATTTTTCGAAAAAGAATGATAACTTATGATACATCATTGAAAAGGTAATATCTGAAAAAATCCAATGGTGAAATCACCAATATGTACCAGGGAAAAAGTGGCAAAGTAGAAGTGCAATTTATTATCGAATCCTTCGAAAGATAAAGCCGGAAAATGCAACTTTACCCCAATTCAACTATCTTCGTATATCTCATAGTTTCCGAGATTCCAATGGTGAGGATCGAATTTTTAACACTCTGTATAATAATTGTCCTAACATACTTATAAAATGATTTTTTTTAAAGAATGTTTTTCTTTTTTTTTTTAATGTTTCTTTTATCTTGCAATACAGAAAAAACACTTGTGTTTTTCAGTGGCGTACGTAAGTGTCGTAGTTCCACTGAATACATTGTAACAAATTAAAAAGCGTCTAAAACAAATTTATTTCCAACAATATTTCACTAATCACAACTTATTTATTCACAACACTCATCAACTAAATTTATTTCCACTATTTGAATTTCTTGTTCAGCCGCTCGACTTACTTTCTGATCTGCCGTCTTGGGTCGGGAAGACGTGCTTATATCGGTAACGGTACTTTCTAGAATGATTTTCAACTCCTTTCAAAAATAGTTTTCGACATTTTTTTATCATATTTTGTACAAAGGGGTTTCTCTAGATATTGAATCTTTTGTAAAACAGTACGCTGATGCAAAACTCATATTGACCAAACTTCTATTGATTAGGAATTTCCTCTAATTCTTAAAAGTTGGTCGAAAGTGTTTTCATTAGGAGTAGGTTAAATGAATTTTTCAATTTGAAATTTTTACTTCGTTCATAACTCGAACTCACGATTTTCAAAATATGAGTGGAACATAATGCATACTGCGCTAATACTGTGACCATTCATTCGATTGTGTCGATCTATGAATGGAGTATGATATGATATTCAATTCGCCTTAGCATATAAAAATAAGTGAAACTAATATTACACATGTAATGATATTTTATTGACAGTGAAATAATAACAGCGTAACAGTTGAGTTCTTTTGATAATCCTTAAAAATATGAGATATTCACAAATATCACAGGTGGTATTGGTCCCGGTGCCGAGACTTCTGATTGGGGTTACAGGACCGGTTGCAGGATTGAGCCGGGGGGCGGTCGACGATAAACACGCATCCCGGCCCCCACGAACCCTGGATCGGCCCTAGAAATCTCCGCCATGAACCCCGGATAGGATCTGGGGGATTCGCGGTTGACTAGACAGAACTTTCTTTGTGCGGCGGAGGGGTTTGAGTGGAGCAATTGCGAGACTGCAAAATGGGGGCCCACGTCACGTGGTATGGCTTCATGGGCATTTGAGTGGCGCAGTTTCTTTTGCTCGAAGGACGAGCCGATATCGTGTACGGGGCTAGCGTTGTATCCAGTAGAGCTTCTGAAAAACAAAACAAATTATTAGGGTGATTTGACTTAGCATTGGAAATCAATTATATTTTCATTTGGGTAACGCAATGTAACGTTTTAGTGACTATTATAATATATATGAATGAGACAAGGTATTTTTCACAAGGCGACAATTTTATACAAACTCTTATTTCTTGTTTAACCGCTCGATTGACTTTCTGAACTTAACTGCCCTCTTGGGACGAGAATCCGGCCTTATATGTTGGAAACGATCGTTCTAGAATTCTGTAGTCGTTTCGGTACTCAAAGAGTTTTATCGGCGGTTGCCAACTGCATTCCTCTTGCGGTGATGTCATGTGTTTGTTCGCTGGCCGACATATCGGTCAGGGGCGGCTTCAGATTCGTTACAATATAGTTGGTTAGGAGCTGTTTGCCAGATTGGAACCATAATAAAAATATAATTTAGAGCATCCCACGCTTTTTTACAACAAAATAATTTTTTTCTAATTAGATTTATTCTGATTTCAGACTTATTAAAAAGTCATTATTTACATCATTCCATAGGACTTATCGATGTTGCACTCAATCTTTTTTAGTTTGTGTTGCTATTGAAGCGTGTTTTATTTAGTTTTTCAAAACTATTATTTATTATTGTTAGTTTAGGTAGAAATATGTAGTCAATGTTCAATTATTATTGATAATTCTTCATTACTGGTTGTACGATTACTGACAAATATTTATGGTTGTAGTCGACATTTTTTTGAATGCCCATAAAACAATCACGAGTGTTACAAGCGCTGGGATGTTCTAATTCAAAGTCAAATAGAGTTCAAATTGAAGGCTATTTTCGAAATCGAATACTGAAAAGAAGTATTTGCCAATATTTCTCCACTGCTTCAGATATCTGAGGATCACATCCATTTTGGAAGAATCTAAATTACTCGTAAATTGAGAGCGATGAAATGGCGCAGTGGTTAAGTGGCCGGCTCTACATTTCGAGATCCCGAATTTTGAACCCAACTTCGACTGCGCGACTGCGAATGATCATGATGCTTTCTGGGTGACTTGGCAGTTTACTGAAACACAAGGTTTATGACCATGGTAGGCGATGCCGACACTGAAAAAAAAATCAAAACAGATTTCACTAACCACTTTGTACGACATATTTCAAACAGAAACAGATGCTTTTGACGTATACAGAATGTTTCAAATTCGATCCTCACCATTGGGATCTCGGAAATTATGAGGGATTCAAAGATGGTTGAATTGAAGCAAAGTTGCGCGTTTACCTGACTAACAATATGCCGTTGAGAAAGTTCTGAAATTCCGAGTACATCCGGAGATATCGGGAAAAAAATAGAAATGTCGAAAAATTGTTTTTATTTTTTTCTGACTTTATTTTGCGAAGGATTCGAAAATAAATTGCACTTTTACATTGTCACTTTTTCTCTGCTACATGAGGGTGTTTTCAGATTTGCTATCCGACGTCTTCCGGCCACCGTCATCAACTTGATTTTTTCTTATTGGCGCTATATTGGATTCTTTCTGTTTTGAATAGAATCAGATTTTACCTTTTCAATGAGGTATTGTAACGTGTTTTAATGAATTATAAAAGGTTTTAAAATACTAGGGTACCGCCGCGAAACAACACTCGGTATGTATAGTGAATTTCCTCACACATGCGAATTCATTTATTTCGTTCGCCGGTCAAAATGAGCGATTTCAATTGGGAATGCGAATTTTATGGGAAAAAAAAGTAGGTACGATCCACAGGGAAATATTATGGTAACTACAGATGCTAAGACGCCCACTAGCAACTTCAAAATTGATTTCTGCAACATCCAAGGACTCAACTCAAATATAAACTCAGTACACCAACATCTGCAAACAAATAGTCCTCATATTCTGGCACTCACAGAAACCAAAGTCAGTGCTTCAACAAACCCCGTCAACTTTCTATATTTTGGCTATGATTTCCACTCACGATTTAGACGAAACTTTGGAATATCTCTTTTGAACAGAATCGATCTCTCCTGTCAACAAGAGGAAATGCTGGAATCTCAAAACTTTGAGATGTTATGTGGTTCAAAATAATATCACAGGAGATCAGTGAAATAATATGCTGCGTTTATCGACCACCAAGCGATATATAATATAGGGCACTATTCTCTTCACTTGCAAACACCATTGACTGTCTGCAAACCAATCATCCCAGTGCCAAAATTTCCATATTCGGTGATTCTAATTTCCACAATATCGAATGGCTCAAATTTCAAATGTCAACGACGAACAAGGTCGCGGAGCTGAGGCTTTTGCAATAAGCAGCGGACCTAATCAGATTATAAATGGAGATTATTATGGATCTATATCTAACAAACAATCCAGAAATGTACACAGTCACCGTAAGGTCTCCATTGGGATCTTCTAATAATGAACTGATTTCATTGTTGAGTAAATTGCCGATAAATGTTGGGGGGCAATCTAAGCCGCACAAAGTTTGGCATCACAGATCTGCTGGGTGGGGGGATCTTTTAGACCATTTCCGAAATTTCCCCTGGATAGATGTTTGTTTCAGCTCTGAAGATCCATCAATTTGTGCTTCTAAAGTCACGGAAGTATGATATAAAAATAACAATAACAATAAAAAATGATTGGCGCTCCGGGGCGACTTCATTGATTCCAGTGGCGCATTTGCTTTTTCAACTGCAGGAAAATCCGGAAAAACCTGCAGCAACACATCATCTGAAGATCTTGCTCTGCTAATGCCCTCTCTCTCATGAAACAAAATGTAGGGTGTTTCCAGACGCTCCAATGAATTCAATACATCGTCAGAACACTTCGTGACACGACTATCGTCAAACTTAAACCAGTCCGTTTCGTCTTCTACCAAGGCGTAATAATGACCAAATTCAACGCCAGACCCACAGTGAACAATGACTGCATGAATATTATAATAGTGGTCTGCTAAATTGAAGTGTTCATCTATTTCGAACCTTTGAAAGAGTTTGGTGCTTCCGTCTGAGATTGAGTCTTGTTTAAAGATCATCAGTGATATTATTAAATTGACTGGTGCCTCAGTTATACTTGGTTGCATATATTCCTTTTTCAATGAAACGAACTTCTAACGGCAAACCTTGGTCCAACAAAAATTGCAAGCTATCACCTCCAAAAATCTCGCCAGTGCTGAAAACCTAACTAGGTTTGTTAATGCTCGCAACAGCTGCAAACTTGGGATAAATGAAAGCAAAGAACTTCACAATCAGAGAATTAGTGATAAACTGCTTGCCAATCCCAACGGGTCTAGATCTTTCTGGTCGGTAGCTGAAGTTATTGATCTGAACTTCACAAAATCCACAATTCCACCACTAACACAAGCGGATGGTTCAATTGCAGCAACAGCTATAGAAAAAGTAAATCTACTAGCTGAACAATTTGCGTCCCACTCCACAGTCGATTTTCTGGGAAAGGTACCACCCACTATTTCCACACTAGAATCCACAATGCCGAAAATTACTTTTCGACAACGTCTAGTCAGGCGACTTCCTGGTCCTGATGAAGTGTCCATCATCGTACTTAGAAAGTGCACAACAGAACTCGCATTACTATCTTGCAGACTTTTTATCCTGTCTTACAAGAAATGGGTTTTTCCTTCTTGTTGAAAGATTGCTCGCGTTCAGTCTATTCCCAAAAAAGGCAAGAAAATTCTTTCAAATAACTATAGACCAGTCGCTTTATCATAGGTGATATCAAAAATCATTTGACCGTGTGTGGCATGAGTGTTTGCTGGACAAATTTCGACGCTATGGCTTGTCGAATCACTTTTGTGTATGGATCTTCAGCTTCCTGAAAGAACGTTCCCTGCATGTAGTCGTTGACGGATATCTCTCGAATACTTTCACCATTAACGCTTGTGATCCCTAGGAGTCTATATTGTCGCCAACCCTCTTTCTATTGTATATTAACGACTTATTGGAAAACACCAAAAATCCAATATATTGCTTTGCTGATGACAGTACACTTGTTTCGTCATTCCATTTGGATCCCAGGACATCGACGACGGATGCACATCTCCACCGGCAGCAGGAAGTTGCACATCTTCACCGGCAGCAGGAGGTTGCATATCTTGATGAGGATCTAGAAGTAACATCGAATTGGGATGAAAGTAACTAGTCAAGTCAATGTCACAAAAACCGAGGCTTAGGTTTTCTACAAAAAGATTAATGTTTCCGAACCGGATTTAATAATGGCAGGACAGACAATGCCGCTTTGTGCTTAGGAAAGTTTGTTGGGGGTTGAAATGGACACCACTATGTCTTGGCACAATCATGTCGCTGGAATTGCAAAAGCCGCTTCTCAAAAGCTTGGAACACTGTTCAGAACCAGAAAACTGTACACACCTCAGCAAAGTTTGATGCTTTATAAAGCTCAGATCAGACCTCCTTTGGAGTATTGTTCTCATGTATGGAGCTCTGCCCCTAAGCTTGCCCTGAAGCTACTGGATTCCATCCAGAAACGAGCCCTCCGCTTGATTGGAGACGCGAACAACACTTGTTACCATTCATTTAAAGTAGAACTCATGTGAATGATATCTGATTTTTTTTCCACAACGAATAATCGAGACAGAGATAGACAAAATCAGAAAGGAAATGAAGACGGAAGTAGAGGAAATCAAAGGAGAGATCAAAGATGAAATCGAGGCAGAAATGAAGCGAATGAAAAAAAAAATAGACGATGAAATCAAAGGCAAGATGAAGGAAACAATTAGATAGTTGCAATATCAAATCGTTAATTCCAACCATACCACAGAAACTGTTACCGAAAACTCAATTCCGGAACTGAGTTTCAAAATGGAAGAACTTCATAAGGCAATGAAAGATGTCGAAGTCAGTTCTGAACAAGGAAAGCTCTCCATGAAGCTACCCCAGTTTGACGGAAAAACTCCTTGGGCAAATTACCGCCGACAATTCGAAGCTGCGGCCAGAGCTAATGGTTGGAATGCAGGAGAAAAGGCGGTACCATTAAGACTGGCGT